TGTAAATTTACAAGCTTAATTCGAAACTAACAAAGAAATTTTGCTAAAATCTACCGTTTTGGAGTTATCGACAATAAAATTTCGGACTCATTTGTGTTGTTGGCTGCTACGGCACGAGAGCCATTACTAGCGTTGTTCGTGTGCATTCGCTGTTGAATACACATGCGCGAAAGAATACCTTGTTAACGGCCTTCTTACTGATCTTATTTGCTTCAATTACTGCGCAACTGAGGACTCATTACGTGCGCAATAACCAAGACAAGTTAATGTCAATCCGGCATCAAATATATGCAAACAACGCCAGTAATGGCTGCCGCGACTCGAATGAGTCCGAACTTTTATTGTCGGTAACTCCAAAACAGTAGATTTTAGAAAATTTACTTGTTATTTTCGAATCAAGCATGTACATTTACATCTAAATATAACTATTCGGAAGATTTTTATTTGATACTTAGCGCGGGGCTTAAAAAGCAAATTACCCTACTAATCTTCACACCCGAGTAAAAACAACTGTACTTTGTACCCCCTTACCTATTTACACTTTTCCCCAAAATTTGGTTTCGACCGGTCAATGTATGGCTATATTAGAGTGTGTGGCGGGCAGACAGACTAACGGACGGAAGACACAGAATTTTCTGTCTATTTTTCCCGATCTCTTCCTTTTTTTTTTTAGTCTTCTTAATTTCTTTTAAGAATGTTTTGATTATTTTTCTGTTACTTAATATTTCTCTTTTTATTTTAAATTCTCAAATCAAAAACTATTTCAAATCTGACATATAATAATGATAGCATCTGCTTGCAGTTGAAGAGAAAGAACTGCATCTTCTTTTATGTGCTATATCACTTTTTAGGACGTGAAAAATCATGTCTGTTAACAACTTCCTATCCTTTTCAAATCTAAGAATTTTTTTTATCACTTTACTATACTTCCCGTCCCTGTCCTGGCATCCATATATACAAGCTTTATTTCGATGCCAACACGTTGGGCAAAGTAACTCTTCTAACTAAAGGACTCTGTAATTATCCTTAATTTTCTGCTGCTAGGCAGTGTTTAAAAGCAACAACAAACATAATCGCAATCAAATACAATTGCTATAAAGTCTTCTAGTCTGTGACGTACAAGTCTCCCACTGTGTCGAGTGTGTAGAGGGTGCAAAGAAGTCCCTCAAACAAATAATAAAAAGAAAATGCACTACAAATAAAGTAAAATAAACTTTTGTTTATTTTTGTAAAGAATTATTTTTTTTTTTGTACAAAATGAAATTGTCCGTAAAGCTGCGGAAGAAAAGAGAAAAGAAAGGAACTGGGAATGTGAAAGGGAAAGGTAGGACTGTGTGTAGCAGGCGAGATGAGAGAAAGAGAGGGTGAAAGAATGTTCACTGATACGTGATACTGCCTGTTGTGAACCGCTGAATCCTCTCGGTGTGTGTGTGTGTGCTCAGAAACTGTCCGTGTCCTTTGATTGTCAGCTTGTCGCTGTTCTCTCTCCCTTCTGATGAGAGTTTCTACCTTCCTTATATAAGAATGATGAGGCTCCGGGGAGATTAAGAAATGGGTTTCTTATGTCGAGTCCTGATTGGTCAATAAATCATATTTTGACCACGTGGTGTGCTTTTTCACTACGTCCGAACTTTTGGGTGCGCCGTCCTTGTTTTTTTTTGCCCCACAGGGCATGGTAAGGAATGAAATCCCGCGCAATTGTATTTTTTGATACACGTGGTGTGAATTAATTTTTATTGTGTGTTTGTGTGTGTGGAAAATAAAATAAGAAACAGCACAATACTCCCCCCCCAGATTGGAAAATATATGAAAGATACATATGTTTTCAATATGTGATATATTCTTTAAAATGTTTCGGCCAGTGGACTTTTCTGCCGGTTTTCGTTGTAGGTGTGATGTCAGTATTTTGTTTTTTAGCTTCCTCATTTTCTGTGTGAATATGTGTTTGTGGAGGTATTGTATGAGGTTGTTCGTCGATGTACGCTGGTTTGATGCGATCAATAGCGATATTATCTTTCTTTTCTTTTCTCATAACAGTAAAATATTTTTCATGCCTGTCCAGAACTTGATATGGTCCTGAATAATTTGGACAGAATGGTTTTTTAACTGCGTCATTTCTGATAAATATATATTTGCAGGTGTGAAGATCGTTTGGGATGTAAGTTTGTTTCTCTGTTTTCCTGGTTGGTGCAAAGTTGAGAAGAGACATTTTATGTTTTAATTCTGTTACAAACGTTGTTGTAGGTGAAATGTCTGTCTTGTGATTAAAATACTGTCCAGGTAATGTTAATGCTGATCCGAAAATCTTGCAAATCTTCTTTCACCGTGTTTCTTATCGCTAAAAGAATTAGCGGTAAATTGTCTGTCCAGTCCGCATTATTTAAATTCATAGCTAGAGAAGCTTTTAACTGTCTGTGGAATCTTTCAACCATCCCATTTGCACAAGGGTGATAGGCGGTTGTTTTGATGTGATTCGTTCCTAACAATTGGGTAAATTCAGCAAAAAGTGTTGATTGGAATTGTGAACCTCTATCTGTTGTTACTACTGAAGGTACTCCAAAAATTGCTATCCAGTCCTGCAGTATAACTCTGGCTATTGTTGCAGCTGAAGTGTCTTTGACTGCTATGGCTGTAGGCCATCTGCTAAATCTGTCAACTATAGTAAGAATATGTGTATGTCCTTTTGAGGTGGGTAAAGGTCCTACTAAGTCGACATGAATGTTGGTGAATCTAGCATCAGGTATGCTAAAAAAGTGCCAAGTGGTGATTTCGTGTGTCTGTGGATTTTGTTCTTTTGGCAAGGTATACAAGTTTTAGTCCAATTGCGAATGCCCGTGTTCATATTGGGCCAAACAAAGCGTTCTGCTATTAATTTTACAGTGGCTCTTTTTCCTGGATGAGATAAATTGGGAAAATGTTGAAAAACTAGTCGTCTGATGTTCGGTGGTAGATATGGACGCGGATGTGTTTGTGATACATCACAATAAAATTTTGTTGTACCAAATGGTATCGGCATTTCTTTCAGTTGTAAGGATGTTTTTTGTTGTACAACTGGAAGTGCTTCATCTGTTTTCTGCTCTTGTGCGATCAATTCCATACTTAAAGAACTGGAATTTAAAGAGGCTATTGTAGATCGAGATAATGCGTCTGCTATAATGTTCTCTTGTCCCTTAATATATCGGATGTCTGTGGAGAACTGGGCGATATAATCGAGATGTCTGATTTCTCGTGGACCATATTTATCTACATGTGTATGTAGTGCATATGTTAATGGTTTGTGATCTGTATAAATGCAAAAATTTTTTCCTTCAGCAAATGCTTAAAATGTTTAATTGCAAGGTAAATTGCTAGAAGCTCCCTTGAAAAGGTGCTGTATTTCGTCTGTGTCTTGCTTAGCTTAGAAGAAAATGATATAGGCGTCATTGTGTTGTTAGCAATTTGGTGTATGACTGCTCCTACAGCTATTTCAGATGCATCTGTTGTAAGCGTGAGTTTTGTGTCCTCACTGTCCGTTACGTAGTTTAGTTTTGTAAAGTTGGCCAAAGCAGTTTTAGCTTGTTTGAGGGCTTCTAGGCTAGGCCCTTCTAACTTTAACTGTTGGTTCTTTGTTTTGTTTTGTAACAAATCTGTTAACGGTGCAAGTAATGTAGAACAGTTAGGTAAAAATCGTCTGTAATAGTTAATCACGCCTATGAATCTGCGTACTTGTCTGACTGATGTTGGTTGTGGGAAATTTGAAATTGCACTTACTTTCTCGGGTAGTGGAGATATTCCGTCTTTATCAATTAAGTGTCCGAGGAAATTAACCTTTGGTTGGCTGAAAATGCATTTCTCTGTATTTATTTTCAGACCGTAATGTGATATTCTTTCAAATGTTTGCTCTAAGTGCTGTCTGTGCTCGTCGAGGTTTCTGCTGGCGATTAAAACGTCATCCACATATGCAAATATAAATGGCAGACCTCTAAAAACTTCGTCTATTAACCTCTGGAAGGTTTGACAGGCGTTCCTAAGCCCGAAAGGCATCCTTACGAACTCGTAAAAGGCCAAATGGTGTGGTCAGTGCAGTTTTATGAATGTCCTCTTCTGCCACTGGAACTTGGTAGTACGCCTTTACAAGATCCAATTTGGAAAATATGGTGGCGCCTTTGTAGACCGATGGCGAAATCGTGGATATGTGGAATAGAGTATCTATCCGGGACCGTTTTAGCATTTAATCTTCTAAAATCGCCACAAGCACGCCATGTTGTAGCGTCGGACTTTTGCACCATGTGTAGCGGTGAAGACCAAGCACTTTTCGAGGGTCGGATGATCCCTTGCTGTAATAAATGTTGAAACTCGTTTTTCGCAATCTTATACTTGTCCGGTTTCAATCGTCTGGGGGTGGCATAGACAGGTTGTCCAGTTGTCTTGATGTGGTGCTCGGCATTATGTTTTATGGTGTCTGTGTTTTTAAATGGCTGGGAGAGTTGTGGATATTTTTTTAGTAGCTGACCTATGTACTGGTCCTCGGGTAAGGCAGAACTGATTCCAATAGACTGGTATTTCGAGGTGAGTCCTCTTACTGAAATCTTGGTTTGATTATCCACCAGTGTGCGATTAGTCATGTCGACAGACAGGTTGAATGTGGCTAAAAAATCTGCCCCCAATATAGGCGCTGTTACACTGGCTATGGTAAAATTCCAGAAAAAAATTCCGTCGCATGCCGAGATTGATATTGAGCGATTTCTCTCCGTAAGTTGGTATTTTGGTACCGTTAGCTGCTTGAAGATGATAAGACTGTGGCATAGTCTCCTGATTTTGTGTTGGTGGTATCACGCTTATTTCAGCTCCGGTGTCTATTAAAAAGTTATATCCATTAATTTTGTCGCGGATATAAAACAGACGACCTTTTGTTAAAATCCAGCAACAGCCGTCGTCTCTACTGGCTGGAATTTCCGTTTCCCGCATTCGCGTTGTTGAAAGAACAAGGATGTGTACAACGTCTCGCCTCAGGACCAAACCTTTTGTGGTAGTAACAAATTTCATCTTTTCGATTGCGGTTGTCAGTCCGGCCTCTGCTGAAACTTCGCTTTCTGTAGCCTGGACATTTATCGCGGCGGTACTGTCGGTCTTTTTGCAGTAAGCCTTGTAATTGTATAGACAACCTTTCTACAGTAGACTTGAGGTCGTTAAATTCCCTGTCTCTTTGTTGGGCTGGTTGTGGTTGGATAGAGTTTACCCTGCGGCTTCGAAAACTTTCATGGATCCGATCTGCAATGTCCGCGAGTTTTTCTGTCTGCGTTTCCTCCGTCATGGGTGCGAGGATTTGTGTTGTTGTAGTGGGTAACTTGTCCAGCCATAAGCTTCGCATAATGTTCTCGGACATTTTGTTGTCACCCAGTAAGGTTCGCATGTGCCTCAATAACTGCGATGGGGTGCGGTCTCCTAATTCAACCTGAGTGAAAAGGTTGCGTAGCATGGCTTCGTTCGAGGCACCGGTCCGTTTTAAAATTGCTTCCTTGAGTCTATCGTACGGGTTGTCATCCGGGACATTTTCCAGTAAATCCATTACTTCCTCGACGATGTCTGCTGGCAGTTTTTCCACTAAAGTAACAATACCGGGTTCTCTGGGGAGGTGATTCGCTTCGCATCAAATAATGCCTGGATTTGAACGAACCAGGACTTAGTGTTAGTCGTGTTGAAAGCCGGGATATTCAACGATAGTGTGGCGAGAGGGTTTCCGAAGATTGTGATTCCATTGTGTCCTTCCTCTTCGTTTTTGTTTGTTTTTTAAATGTAGTGTCTCACGTCGGTCACCAGTTTGTAGAGGGTGCAAAGAAGTCCCTCAAACAAATAATAAAAAGAAAATGCACTACAAATAAAGTAAAATAAACTTTTGTTTATTTTTGTAAAGAATTATTTTTTTCTTGTACAAAAATGAAATTGTCCGTAAAGCTGCTGAAGAAAAAGAGAAAGAAAGGAAATGGGAATGTGAGAGGGAAAGGTAGGACTATGTGTAGCGAGCGAGATGAGAGAAAGAGGGTGAAAGAATGTTCACTGATACGTGATACTGCCTGTTGTGTGAACCGCTGAATCCTCTCTCGTGTGTGTGTGTGCTCGAAACTGTCCGTGTCGCTTTGATGTCAGCTTGTCGCTGTTCTCTCTCCGTTCTGATGAGAGTTTCTACCTTCCTTATATAAGAATGATGAGGCTCCGGGGAGATTAAGAAATGGGTTTCTTATGTCGAGTCCTGATTGGTCAATAAATCCTATTTTTTTGACAACGTGGTGTGCTTTTCACTACGTCCGAACTTTTTTGGTGCGCTGTCCTTGTTTTGACCCCACAGAGCATGGTAAGGAATGAAATCCCGCGCGATTGTATTTTTTGATACACGTGGTGTGAAATAATTTTTATTGTGTGTATGTGTGTGTGGAAAATAAAATAAGAAACAGCACAAGTGATGACTGACTTATTCGGCTCTTTGCAAAATATGCTATGCCACTACGATAGCATTGGCGATGAAGATAAGCTTCAATTTGTGTAATGTGAAGTAAAAATTGCTACTTCGTATTTATCTTTGTTTCTATCCCAGAATATACCAAGAAACACACTTTTTTCTTTATAAGTAACTCGTTTATAGGGAACTGTTGCTATATGTGTTACACCTAAAATACCAAACCTAGCTGACAAATCAACAAAATAACTCCAGCATTTAATATTTAAAAGGAGGGTTATTTTATCATGTAGTACAACCATAGCCGGCTTACTTCGCTGTACTTAAGGTTCGCGAATGCCAGGCTACACATGGGCCCAGAACGATGTTGGTCAAAGGGAGACAACTCTGTGCGAATTATTTGCTTCATCCTGCACATCTGCGTATTTCTCTTTACGCTACGTCCTCATCCATGTTAGGTATGATGATGGTTGAGGGAAACTGGGTGTGTAATGTTGTCTTGGGATGGTACTCCTAAGTTTCTATGTAGTGGGAAGCATTTGTGTCTTCAGATGTATCTAGTTCAAAGTTTTCCCTAGCCCTTGTAAGATGGCATCTATTTCGTCTAAAGGTGCCATCTTGGGAGGTGCAGTCATCGACCTTATACATTATATGGCCAGATTTCCAGAGTTTACCAGAGTTTTTTTTGGAGGGTGGAGGGTTGTTTTTTTTAAATGGGCGTTTTCTCCTTCTCATAGCGGAGTTTGTGGTCAGCTCGAACGATTATATATTTGGAATGTTTTGTCTTTCTGTGCAGGCATTTGTATCTTTGACCACCCATAGTCCATGGCTTTGAGCTTTAGCTGGCTAGGGAATATTAATAATACTGATAGCCCTGGTGGGCCCAGAAAAGCTCTACAGGGGAGTGCCGAGAGCCGCTGTTTGAGGTGTTTCGGTACTTAAACATGCGAGGGTGAGTCTCACTGCTTTACCCTTTACCTTCTAGAAAATTTTCTTGGCTGTTTGCACTGTCCGCTCAGGCAGGCCATTGGGTTGGAGTGTCGTGAGCTGGATGTAGAGTGTACAAAATCATATTCTTCTGGGAATTTAACGAATTCTAGGAACTGAATTGTCAGAGGCCACTTTCTCTGTTCTGCCATACCTGAAGAAGGTTGACTTAATGTTTTATAATGGCTTTGCTGATTGTGGAGTGTACTCGAGCCACTTCGAAGTACCGACCGTAGTAGTCCACGACCACTAGAAAGTCTTTCTCGTCCCACTGGAATAGGTCAGGGGCTACTGCTTGCCAGGAATGGTGAAGTACAGAGTGTGGTTTTAAGGGTTCTTTTGGGTTATAATTCTGCATCGTCATACATTCAGGGCACTTCGACACGAACGTGCGTATATCAGCGGAGATGCCGGAACAAAATTGAGTGGACATGGGCGTTCATTCCTTTGGAGTACTCCTGATATGTGTCTGGTGGGTCGTTTCGTGAGATGATGTCAACCAGGGATACCTTATATCCTGGGAAGTATATGATGTTCAGGTCTTAGTTACCTAATTGAAGCAACATCCCTAAACGAGCAGGGGTCGACTAGAGGGTTTTTTGGAATATCGGTGCTTAGGGCTTGTGGTTCGATTACAGTGATGCTGCGACCGTAAATGTTGTAGTGGAATCTTCTACACTCGATTTGAATGGCAAATAGTTCCTTCTCGATATGTACATAGTTCTTTTCATTTTACATGAGGGACTTCGATGCGTAGGCAATCGATTTGCCCTCCTGTAGTACCTAAGACATGTTTAGAGGCGTTAACTTGGAGAATTGTCGGTTTGGAAAGGTCAAAATATTTAAGAGTTTGCCTCTGGTTCTTTTCAAATACTCTCAAATGGAGTATTAAATGTTGTAAAGTATGAGGACTCCTTATGTAGCGGTATGGTCCAATATCCACACCGTATATCGAGTTTCGGGAAGAGCTTTTCTCGGGATAGCTCAGGGAGGGTATCTTCTAGATTTCTCATGGGGTAATGTGATCTTTGAATAGTCTGTTTTAGTCGCGCGGATCCAGACATATTCTAATTTTGTCATCCCATTTTTTTCACATTTACCAAGGAATTCATCCAATGTCCAGGTCCTGCGACCTTCTTAGTAATGTCTCCTGCCTCCATTCGTGCCAGTTCTTCTGAAAGCCTCTGATGGAAGTTTAGGGCCACTTTCCGATGAGGTGTACAATGGAGGTACCTTTGTGTCAACGTGAATGGAGCACTTCACTGGAACTTCTCTATCCCATCAAGAACATCGCTGTACTCTGACAGTATCTTACTTTTATTTAGGCTTTCTTGGAAGGTAAGAGACTTATCAGGTTGGGGTTTGTTTTGAGTTTAGATTCATATATTAGTTTAATCAGTCCAAAGTTCAGGCTTTACCTCAAGTCTAATATGGCAGATGAATCATTTTCGATAATGTGTTAATTTACATTGAGTAGTGTGGTTTTGTACTCATTTTTCAACAAACGGCATCCCAATATATTGAGTCTGTATGCTGACAGCTTGGCATTGCTAGGTGAGTTTTGAATTTTACTGTTTTCGTTTTCGGACCCACTTTTATACGTAGAGTGCAAAACGCTTGGTTGTCGTTCGTTACATTTTTTCACAGGTGATAATAAAACAGTTCCAATCTAAGGTTTTTGCAGACAATGATGCAGGTATTAAATCGCACGATATCACTGGCTGCATATCAGAGACTCATCAACACCAACATGAGCAAGCAAGGTTTATTTCAATACGCCGTATCACAACTCACGGTCTCAAATTCTCTCTATATATATACTATTTATAATAGTTACTTTCTAAACAGGAAAATAAACAAAATCAGTTACTTATCTTATTTCGTGTCTATTTTCTATCCCAGAATCCATCGTTCCGATATGGGTTTTTTCTCATTAAAACAGTTTTTAGACGGATAATTAATTCAGTTAACATTTCGTACACACTTGTTAACGGAGTGGAAGAAGATGGATCTGAAAACCCGCCAAATTAAATATTAATTATAATAAGACCATTGAAAAGAAAAAATATATATACCAAGAGAAATAGGATTCATTTTTAGAGACAAATTAATTCTGCTCTTAATCCATATTTTTTCTTTTGAAGTTCTTAAGCAGTCTACAGCAGCGAACTACCGCAAACCAAAAACGAAACTAAAAATCTTTGCTCCCAGTGAAATAAAGAGATTTGAAATTGGCCTTCAGTTGCACTATGACTTGGCCTTAAATAAAGAACGTCATGAAAGTATTGACATAAATTTTAAAATTGTGAATTACTGTCTGCAAATCTGGCTGTTGCAGATGCCCGAAATTACGATAATCAAGGCCATGTCCAATATTTTGACTCAGATGAGTCATCATCAAGGGGGTGTATAAGAAAAGTTTGGTGAAGAAAAGCAGTAGTGTTTTAAGTGGTACATTTGGAAGTCTTATTATATTTTAAAAATGAATAGTTACATAATTACAATATATATATATATATATATATATATATATATATATATATATATATATATATATCCAAATGTAAGAAAGAACAGAAGGAGTAAAATTCCACTGTTCGTAGAATTTAATTTAAAAAAAAGAAAGTGCTCAATACAAAGTAGAGCAACATATTATTATTTTTATTATAAGAGATTAGAACAAAACATGTTGAAATCGATGCACAATAGCTTTCGTGATTGGACACTATGCTGTGCCTCTTCAGGCGATGGTAGGTTACTGGTGATTAAATGATTTTTAAGAAAATTTCAAAAGCAAAGTATTACCTCTTTTTCGAAAGATAAATGTGGATGAAGAAACACAAGGTCAGAATTGAAATTAGACATGTGGGTTTGCCTTGATCAACCAATTACATGTCAGGTCTACGCTAAATAGAAAATTAAGCTCAGAAGGTGGAGGTGAGGGAGTTATTTTTTCATGACATGATAAACCGGAACTTAGACAGGTCATCATTGACATTTGCGGAAAACATGCAAGCAACAAATGTATCGTGATTGTAGACAAATATGACAAATGTTCAATTTTTCAAAGGACGCTGAGGGAATGGGTAGGATGGTAATTAGACGTAAAGTTAATTTCAACAGAATTT